TCAGAAATAACGTCAAACGTACCGCTATCGTAAACCATGAGGATAATCCAACAGATGTAGAGATCCTTATTCTCCAACACGAAAAAACACCGTCTCAAATCCGCATTTGAGGCAGGAAACGTCAGTTCCGGATCTGCTTACAGTGAGATGTTAGTACCATCCTGAATTCGTGCCAGTTGGGGCAGTAGAAACCGACACTGAATCCCTGCTGCAAAGCGAGCGTAAAAGAACATTGCGGGGACCGAGCAAGCTAAAGATACAACAAGAAGTATGATCCCAATTGTGGCGTCCCGGGGCCACACGGCCCATATACGAGTGGCGAGAAGACCTATTCATAGCGCCGAGATACAGTCAAAATCCGGAACAATATGAAAGCGTGAATTCGCTGACCCTCGGAGAGTTGTATACCCAATATTGAGCTCCCTAAATGGTTCAATGACATTACGTGAGTTAAGGAATTCGGGACAGAGGTGTATATGCAACTCGCACTTACAACCGCCGAGAGAATACGCAATCGCACAGAATTTTGCATTTGGTGCTCCCATCATGACTATGAAGTCTCTCATCAACAATATCTCTTCGTGTCAGAGCCAAAATTCGTACTCACAGTACTGATCCATTATAACCCGATCAAGCAGTGACATGTATCGTTGTTGGAGATGCAACAAGTCGAAAAGTGTACGTCGTGTTAACTTGAACCTGAATGGCTGTTTTTGATGGCTGAAGATAGACCCCCAGATGTGCGTGATTTCAGTATCGAGATTGAGCAAGACGTCGTAGGTCCATAGGGCGCCTGCTGCAACTGAAGAGTGTTGCGTTTACAAGCTTAAGCCGCTAGAATAATGGAAGCGTAGGAATGAGATACCGTTAAACTCCTGAGGAATTGGAAGACGATAAGTTGAGACTCGATAGCCTCAGGTGAGTTCAAAGCGGAGGGCAAGCTCACCCGAGCTAGCATCTCATGCTGTAATGCAATTATAACACCTGCATCGAGCGGGGTGGCGATACCTTCGGTCATCAGGTTTGAGAAGCTGGAAGTGTTGTTGGTTACGAGCCTGCGGCATGAGGCTTAGAAGTACTTATACCAAAGGACCAGACACTTACGATGGATGCTTTTCAGGCTATGAACCAAATATCAATCGACAGAACATGAGTCTTGAGCAATCTGTGAATGAAGAGTAGTGTTGGTTTGTGAGGAGTCTCTCATTATAGCGTGCTAATCTCAAGTCAAGTGGCGTTCAATGTACATCACGAAGAATGGCGGATCAACTGGATCAGACAAATCACCGCAGGGTCTTCATAGAAGACCATACTTTCGGAGGAGTCACGAACGTCCCGGAGAATGACAAATACGATGGAGTGTTGGACAGAACCCCAGTAGTGAATGAAAAATGATATGACGAGGGGAATGGTCACGGTGGCGCCGCGGCTTCACTGGATCTTAATTAGATTAATGTGGAGCGATTTTACGAAGTCTGACTGAACCATATTGCCTTTTGCATCAGAGGTCGTCCTCGATATTCGATCAAATTAATTGGAACCATGAGGGAATCAGGCGAACAAGAACGAGATGAAGTCCACGTTTCCGTCGCCTTCAAGCTGAACTTCACATCCAGACGGTGAATCGGCATTGCTCTGACCAAGCTCTCTGCAGTAATGATCGATCAAATCGCGCCCAAAACTCGCGTTGAACGCCTATTGTTGTCACTGGTCAGGCCCCGGAATTCCCTTACTGTTCTAATTGAGTACAAGGCTTGGAGACACAATCAATCAAGCTATTCTCGTCTGACTATCGGGGACTTCCATATTCATAAGTATCGAGAATGGATAGTTGAAAAGGAACTTCTTGGGCGCTCGACGTAGATAGGTGGCTTTCGGAGTGGGTTCCAGTCTCGTCAACGAAGGAACTTGAATCGGGTTTATTCTTGATACATGATACATTATGAGTTGGTCCTATTGTGCGCCAGAACTAAATGCCAGCTTATGCTTGAATACTTTGAACGCAACGGCAGCACAAATAACTCCAGGTGATTGCTGCTCCATCCCGGTCTTATAACTCTAGGCAGTGATCTCTACATAAGCTCGGTGAGAGGCTTTAGCGTCCCGTCATGACTCATGGGTCGTGCGAAAGTTCGAGAACAACTCTAAAACATTATCGTATCGCACGTGTACTGGGGTCGCTAGAGGCTATGAGAGTCGAGATGTGAAGGACGGAGATTTATGCAGGTATTCACGACCTTTCGGGACGATAAATAAATATTAGGTCGGCGGAAGGCCTGTGGGTGGGTATGGTAGATAGATCCGAACGTTGCTCTACTCACGACGTGTTGTAAGTATTTATCAAGTACTCCATCGGAAGACCATTCACCAGAGAAACATTCCATTGATTCGAGAACACGATTACTTTACAAAAATATCAGTTCCAGCGATTGCCGATAGAACGAACAACCGATATCAGTGCTCGGACGCCGGTATTCATTATATGGGCATCACAATCAAGGGCAGAAGACGACTAGGGAGAAGGGTATAGAGGTTAAAGATCCGAAGCCACAATCAGATACTTAGACGCATACCATTGAACGCAATATTGCCAGCACCACAAGCTCGGACTGGCATGTCGCTTCCACATCCGGTCGTATCCTAAAGTACCAAATCGTAAGGAGAACACCCATTGAAAAGGGAATGAAAAGAAACGTACACCCGGAGGGTACGCCTGGTTGCAGGGGCAATTGACATTCTTGCACGTTACGGTCTGACAGCCTGCGGCCCCAGTTGAGATAGACTGGGTGAATCCTTGGATATTGGAGATGTCGTAGGATTGAGGAGTAAATTGGTTCCCAGAGTCTATTTGAGGGAGCATTAGAGGTTGAAGGAGTTCGGGAACCCGGCTTTTTATGTTGACTCACCCAAGTTGTATTCGAGGATGGTACATTTCTCGCCCTTGGGTCCGCAATTCCCGTTCTTGTTGAAGATACGTCCGACCCACTGCAAGAGAGGACGAGTTAGACCTGGGCTGTAGACAAAAAGAAGCTATAACGTTACCCTCGACGGAATAGTGACGGTCTTCGATTTACCAGCAGCAATCGTACCGGGTTGAGCGCCGGTAAAGTCAACCGCGTCGTTGCATCCTAAGTGAAGTCAATATGAATTCAAGGTCACCAAGCAGGTGTGAACTCAATCCGAATCACTCACGTGGGCTGTATCCGCAACGGGTGTTGGCAATAACGGCGTTCACGGAGCTGCCGCACTTGTTGGTGATGGTGAACTAGTTGAGGTTCAGAGTTAATTGTCGGTTTCCTCTCTGAGGGCTAGAGGGAGAGGGAGAGGTATCAACAACGCACCTTGTGGTCTGCAACAACGAGGAGAGGAGCAACGAGAGCGACGAGAATAACGGCGAAGGACTTCATGCTGGAAAAAAGTAGTTCGACGAAGAGAAGACCGAGATGATCTGAGGAAATCATAGGCTCATCCTAGTGATATTTATACTTCCTTCCCATTTGAATCGGGCTAGATCCTGTTGGAAATATTAGCCACAATGTACGAGTTCCGTGTCGCCCACCTCCTCGTACGCCACACTGACATGGATCAGTCAAGTGCAATCATGATCCCATGGACAGGGCGGGCCGCTGAGATGTACAATGGACGCGCACACTCGATTCCTCGCGGAACGGCGGGATCGAAACTGTTCAGTTGCGTTCGCATCCACACTTCTTGTGCTAGATATATAAATAGATGACTATTCTTGAAGGAAGAATGTATGTATACCTGGAGCTCCCTTGAATGCACAGGCTGGGAGTTGAGGTAGATGAAACTGGCGCCCAGTCCATATATCCATCATGAATACATAACACATCCCTGGCCCCCGCCTGGACCTCGTTGTGTGCTGGAAACGCATCAAACCAACTTTCGAGGTCACCATACGAGCAACGAGCTCTTGCTTTGAATGGTAGCTTCCCCTTTTCCCTTTCCCCGCATAGTTGTTATACCGCTTTGTACGGGAGCTACACTCACGACGCGATTAGTGGCGAAAGACAATAAATCATTTGATTGAAAATGAAACAAAGGCCCCGCCCTGAATGTTCGTGCCCCGATACGGGGTAGTATGGGGTTGGGCTCAGAGTGCCGCATTGTAGCTAATGGCCGAATAGGTCTTGATAGGAGTACTCGTACTGAAAGCTGAAGCTTATGGAGGAATAATGCATCCCGCCGAGATCGAAGTGGAAAGATGGATGGATGATAGACGCCCATCAGATGTGTGTCAGCTCGTTTTGCAACTCGTTATTCAAATTGGGAATCTCATAGGGCGCCCGATGTGACTAGAAGAGGCCCAAATATCTCAGCGTGAAACTCGGAGCGAAAAGAGTTGCTACTGCAGTACTGAGGATTTAGAAGACGGTTAGTCGAGACTCTAGAACTACGGTAAATGAGACAGCTGAGATCAGGCTCACCCTACCTGATACCACATGTAGTAATGTCTCTAGAGCATTGACAGATACTATAGCTAGTTGGGTGGTGGCGCCGCCCCGGGCCATTGAAGTTTAAGAAGCTGGAAGTGTGCTCGAGTGGGAAACAGGATCACGAAGCACTGGCACGAGGTTCTCAAATCGCACATGTGGAACGCCGTCGAATGGATAATAGGCAAACGAACGGTGTTGGTTCAGGAGTGGACTCTCAACATAGTACACCGTAGGTGGCCCCCTGAAAGTGTATGGCCGGGGAAAGGAACTGTTATGTGTGGCACTGCAACCTCACTGGTTGATCGGTTCGTATCGAAGAGCGTACTGCAAAGTCCGACTGAGCTATAGAAAAACAATTATAGTACATGGCATTCAACAGCTATTGCTGTATAGTACGGGTTTAAAGTGGGAGACGCCGGAATCACATATCCTCACGGACGGTGTATATTTACGTGTTGCCCTACCCATACTGTATGCATTTCAGTGGGTTTCAAGCGAAGGGGTCGAGGGCTGTTTGAAATGGGGCATTTGCGGGATGAAAAATGGACACTGTGGGATTTGAACCCACGACCTCACGCATTCGAAATCCTACGACGATGCGAAGCGTGCGCGCTACCCCTGTGCCAAGTGCCCGATATATCCAGAATAATAAACGCTTCAGTAACATCCCCAAGAGGCCTACGTTCCTATTACACTTGTTTTGTGGTATGAGCTCAGCCGATTACTGACAAGACAGTGTTCTAGTCCGCATATTAGGAGCTATGTAACACTGCAGACTTTCTGTGGCCTCGCGCTCACCAAATTCTCCACACGAATTCCACCGCGCAAAGGTGTATGATTACGTCAATTGATTCGGTGGAAACGGAACTGCCAAATACCAAGAACTTCTTCTCATTGAAATACTCCACATCGAGAATTCCAGTGCCAGAGGCCACTGCCTCCCGTCGGCGCCATGAAGCCGAACTGCCCCGTCAGGGTCCAAGCTATCAATGATATATAGGCGAGTGCATCATCATTCGCTACAGACTTTTTACACCTCCCAATACCACCATGTCCGCCGCTGCCCTCAACATTTTGTACCCTCGACAAAGTACGCCAGGTCATTCGAACAATAACGACTTCAATAATGCCCGTAACACTGCAAGGGGGATCTCCGTCGCCATCATCGTCGTAATTGTCATCTCTGTCGTTGCAACCATAGGTGGTACAATCCTGGCCATATTCTGTTTCATGAGACATAGGAGAAAGCAGAGAGAAATCAGGGAGAAGTACGGAGGAGGCATAGGAGGAGGATTCAACTACCCGCCATCTCAACCACTCGACACCGCTGGCGGTGTCGGAGGTACTACCACTGGCAACCATGGGGGATTCACTGGTACGACGCGATTTAGATCTCTCGCTGAATTACTGACCCACACTCATCCTCTAGACCCATCAGGCGCCAACCCATACGGATACAACAACTATAACCAGGGTGCCGCGAGCCAACCGCCAGGCTACTCTGAAGGATCGCAGGGCATGTACCCTCCTCCAACGACTCATACGACACCCGGCCACTATTAGGTGCGGAAATCATGTAACAATGTGAGTCTCTGGCTTGTTCTTGTAGGGTTTTGTGTTTCTAACGAGGAATGAAGGTCAAAATCGTCCCATCATTCCCAACAAACTCTGATGATACTTATTTTACACGACTGGACAATTCATACCCGTCACCTCATCGTACTCGAATACCTATCGTACTTTGTACAATTATTTCGAATTTGTCTCATTTCCGAAGAACAGGAATTCACTGTCGTCCTCACTATTTTCCCCCTGTGCGAACGTTGGATCTTGGAGTGATGACGATGAACTATCTCTTGTTGCAACTCACGACGTCACCAATGCATTGAGAGAGTTTCCACTCACCGTCCCGCATCTTTCGACTTGGGACCTACTAACTCAATTGGCTGTACAGGTTATGACGAAAATTTCTATACAAGAACCGCATGGGTCGTATTCCCAAATCTTTACAGCGCTTCCTTTTGTGAAGATTTATACTCTCATAGTAAGTGTTTCTGCTGCGCAAATTGACTTCATAGAACCCTCGTACCCGAGATGGAGTTTACTCGTCGAGAATTGTCATAGACGCAAGCCCCAAGCTTTCCTACAATCAGCCGACTCCCGAGCGGAGGGCACTTTCATCCCACAGTTCCTGATGAGGCGAGCAGGTTATACCTTCGTCATAACAGAGAACAAAGCCCCGAAGATGAACGATAGCATAGGAGTAAGGAATTTGAGCTGACCGATGACCTTCGATCCTAGCAGAGAACGAAATTTGGTGTTTGGTGGCGCAATGCCAAGATGGACCGGACGGTCCGGTTAGCCAGGCCCGTGTCGAGGGGTTTTTCAGTGTTCCCACGAATTTTTCTTTGGCCTTGACAACGACGTCTGTATCTTGCGACCACGGTTTATTCCCCTCTATACAAGGTCTTCAGGGGCCTACTCATCTCTAGGAATTATCGCAACGTTTCTTCAATTTCGCCTCGACCGCGAGGTCTCAAGAGCTTCAGGATCACGTTTTCGATCGTCATGACAAGTACGAATACTACCTGTGGGCCTACTCATTGGTGAGACCAACGTTGCTCAAGTGCCAGAATCGAAAGAGAAAGCGATGGGGAAGGTACGCGAAGAAATCACCCACATCAGAGGTAAACTACCTAGACTCATTCGATGCGATCTGAGAAATTATCACTAGGGACACACCGACAGAGATCGTTAGGTGGAGGAATTGTGCAGAAATACTTAAACCTCCGACAGAAGCTGTAGGAAGAAAGGATCACTCGAACATTCAGCGATAGAGATTGCACCATCAGCTTGATGAGGCAGTGGAACGAATAGTCATATATGATGTTGACACTATGGAACAACAACATCCCGACTATTGAAACGATTGACGAGTCCTAATAAATATAATAGCGGAATCCAATATGAGCAAATAATGTTGAAAGAGTGGAAGGATTAGAACGAGTGTGGCGTTCTATGCTCTATTGTTCCTCAGCATAAACGAGTGACGCGAGGAACAGAATAGAGATGGGGAACTTCGAGCGCCTAATCCGTATTTCCTAGGAACTCCTCGTAGGCTGGGCAGAGACTATTCCAAGCAGCTGACAGGAGAGACTGTCAGGTATGACATCTCTTCTGTGAGGTAATATACTCACCAGGCGGGTTCTGATCCTGCTGTATACCGGCGATGTCTTCAGCCATCACAACAGCGAGACCCCTGCAGATATCGTTAGAAGGATCTCGATTAGCGAAATCTTAGCCCTTAAACTCACGCTTCTTGATGAAGAGCAATGTGGCTGTAGTATAAATGAATTTAGAGACTTTCTCTCATGCACACTGAGAACGGCGCCTCACCAATGCATAATCCACGGACCAGTGTTGTCAGTCCTGAATCGAATGGTCACATTGTCGCCTGGTGTTCCAATGTTAACGACGTCCCTCCTTGGTGGGTTGACGTAGTTATAGGTGGAGCTCCCTGCGCTTCGGACAACATCAAAGGAGTGCTGGAGTACGATATTGAAATTATCTTCGAGTTTGGGCAGTGAGTAGATGACTTACGCCATGCAGATGGTAAGGATGCTACGTTCTCCGAGTCAGTTTCGAAATCGCTACGAAGATCTAGGGAACATACAGGTGCAGCTTGAGAACCGTCCTCAGTGGGGAATGACAACTGAATAGTCTTGTTGAGCGGGAGCTCATATACCGAACCAATAGGCATGATCTCGCTCGGGTTGGTAACGCCACTCATGATCTGAAGCATGACAGGAACATCCGGGAATTCCATAGACTTGCCATTGATGAAAAATCTACCGGTATCTTGGTCCTGATAGGACGTTGAGGAAAGAGTTCGGTAGAGCGGCAAAAGTATGGAAATCCCGACTCACGAGGGTGAGAAGCATATTGATGTTCACATCGGCACCGTCCTGAACGGGTTCTCCAGGCTAGAAAGATTGGATTAGTACAACGGATGGGCATACATTGAGGGAGATGGGGCTTACGGCTCCTGGGTTCTCAGTAGGATGAAGGTCGGTCTCCTGCAAGACTTTGGCGTCTCCCTTTTCGGACGAGGTGGGATCAGCGTCCGGAGCTCCCTTGTAGCGCAGGATCGCAGAGTTGATTCCTCCGTCAAAGCCAGGCGTTCCCGGGGCGTACGGATTGGCGCGAATCCCTGAAAATACCCTTTAGTGATGGCTGATATGATGAACGGCGAATGCGTACAGTAGTTTCCAACAGGCTGATCTGCATTCACAACAGCTGAGTATCGTTGTCCTGAGGAGGGGTGTTCATGTACAGATCAAAGATACTGGACGTCAAATGAAACAAACCGGCAAAAATTGTGAATTTATCGACAGTGACGGGATCATGGTTCACTCCGTCAGCTTCAATGATCTACATAAACCGAGTGAGCACGGCAAAATCAGCTTCTCTAGACGCGATTCACTCACCGCCATGCTATGTCCGTCGATCGAGAAATCAAACCTAGGATCACAGACCATGGAAATAACACGGAATCGATATCTGCGGAGTAGTTAGCGACTCAAATCATAGTCTGATGAGTAAATAACAAGAATCCACCTTTTTCCTTGCTCTACATTGATGATCGCAAGCGCTTGTTGCGGGCCACCCGGATAACGCCCTTGACCATTGATGAGGGTTGAGTCCGGTTGGCTGGGGTGATGGATAGCATGAGCGTGCGTCGTCGGAGAAACAGGATTCATCACACTCACACTGGTCCTTGCCATGTCGGGGCGAAAGTGTCTAAGGAAACGTGAGGAGGGAGCTGTAAGTCTGACGTGATCATAGGAAGTAGTTGCCAATGTGGCACGTACGAAACCTGTAGGCGTTGGCAACTCTCAATCAGTTCTGGCCACGCGCAGAGAGAGATTAAACTCACCAGTCGGCGATAGAAATGATAGTGCTCGCTGATGGACATGGATCAGCTTCCCCTACAACGTGGATCCAACAAGGGAAGCTCACTGTCATCGACATCATACAAGTCCTTGTGTGGATCGTTGGGATCGTAGATAATCAACGCCCCACGAAGGCCATCACAATACTGAGCGGCTATACTTGTGTGAGAATGGTATTTTACATTCTGATGTTGAGAAGGGCGTACTATAATGGCTGTGATACCAATATGTCCCCGTTTGTCCAGCGGTGTCGACCCTGTAGTTGTACGAGTTTCCGGGAACGATGGGGCATTGAGTAACCGACGCTGTTCTAAAGGAGTAATGGGTGAGCGAGGACACGCCAGTTTCGTGATGCTACTGAGAGTTACCCGTCGTCAAAACGCGTTCCTTTGGCGTGAATACCATGCCAGTGCTGGTGAATGATGTGAGCCGCTGTTCGAATGGCTAAGGGATTGAGATGATGAATTACTCACGACAGTGGTCGGTAGAGCCATGTTGGTATCTGTCAGCTCGTCGAAGACGTTGATCTCTAGTATATCGCCCTAGAAGGTTATGTAGCTATCTGTTATGGCTCGACGAGTGGGGCCGCTACCGACCTTGTTGGCAGTAATGACTGTGCCGGGAAACTCCCCGTTGGATAGGACGGTACTTCTCTCGAAGCCATCCGGAGCGATGACCTTG